ATCTGAGACCATGTCCTTGTGACAAGCTCAAACCCAAGAGTGGCTCCATTATCCCCAAAAATGACCATAAATGTCCATAGAAGAAGATCTAATCATGAAAGGGTCAAGGTATTAGCTTTATACCTCAGATTGGTTGCCAAAACAAAGTAGATGACAGATCCACTTCCTCCTTTTCGATCCAAGCTCCTCACTCTTCAAGTTTCCCTGGGAGTCGGGATGTTAGAATTTTCCCCCACTTGAACTAGACTTCGTCCTCAAAGTCTGCTGCGACAAACAACTCCGGATAATGCTCCCGCATCTCCGCCTCCGGCTCCCAAGTCCACTTGGATCTCGTCCGGTGCTCCCATTCTACCTTTACCAAAGGTACTTCCTTGTTCCGTAGAACCTTCACTTTCCTCTACAGAACGACCACTGGCCTCTCTATGTAATTCAGGCGCTCATCGACCTGAGTATCATCTAACGACACTACTCCATCCTCATCCAATATGCACTTTTGCAATTGTGAAACATGAAAAGTGTTGTGAATCTGAATGAGCTCCTCCGGGAGGTCCAGTCTATATGCCACCTTGCCCACCCTGGCAATAACCCAAAAAGGTCCAATGTATCGGGGACCCAACTTCCCCCTATTCCTGAAGAGAATCACACCCTTCCAGGGTGAGACCTTCAGTAATACCATGTCTCCCACCTGGAACTCCAGCTCTGATCGGCGTCGGTCGACGTAACTCTTCTGCCGACTCTGAGCGGTCTGCAGCCGATGTCTGATCTGATGAATCCTCTCGGTAGTCTGCAGAACTACCTCTGCCCGCCCCATCACCCTGTGACCGATCTCACCCCAACAGAATGGGGTGCGACATCTCCGTCCATACAACAGCTCATATGAAAGTTGTTATTGTAGGAGAACTCTGTAAGAGGTAGGTAGGAGTCGCAGCTCCCACCGAAGTCAATAACGTAGGCTCTCAGCATATCCTCAAGAGTCTGTATGGTCCGCTCACTCTGGTCGTCTGTCTGCGGATGGTAGGTTGTACTAAAATGCAACCGCGTGCCCAGTTCCTCATGGAACTTCTGCCAGAAACGGGAGGTGAACCGAACATCGCAGTCTGAGACAATAGAGACCGGCACCCCATGGCGAGCAACGATCTCGCGGATATACAAGTCGGCCAGCTTCTCGGCCGATGAACTCTCCCGTATCGCTAGAAGTGGCCACTCTTGGTTAATCGATCCACGATGACCCATATAACATCACGCCCCTTCGTCGTCCTCGGCAGCTTGGTGATAAAATCCACCGTGATCTGCTCCCATTTCCACATGGGAGTCTCCAGAGGTTGCAGCTGACCGTACGGACTATGATGCTCGGCCTTGACCATATGGCAGGTCATGCACCTCTCCACATACCACGAAATTTCCCTCTTCATGCATGGCCACCAGTAACTCAATCGTAAATCCCGGTACATCTTGGTGGCCCCCGAGTGAATAGAGAAGCGAGACTTATGATCCTCCTCTAAAACAATCTGTCTGACCCCAGCAGACATCGGAACCCAGACCCGACCGCAATGGGTCAATAATCCACGGTTGTCCTGCACAAACTGGGTGTTCTCACCTTGGATCCTCTCAAGATTCCAATTCTCCTGTCGCATACCCACAGCCTGAGCTTCCCTGATCAAGCTCACAAGTGGAGAATCCACTGATATCCTCATACATGTCGCTGGAGTAGAAGATCCAGCTGACTTGCGGCTCAGAGCATCCGCAACCACGTTCGCTTTACGAGGATGGTAAAGGATCTCGCAGTCATAATCCTTGACCACGTCAAGCCACCTACGTTGTCTCATGTTCAGGTTCGGCTGATCCATGATGTGCCTTAGACTCTTGTGGTCTGTGTATATGGTATAGCGGACCCCATAGAGGTAATGTCTCCAAATCTTGAGAGCGAATACCACCGCTCCCAACTCCAGATCATGAGTAGGGTATCTCGTCTCGTGCGGCTTCAACTGCTGCGACGTGTAGTCTATCACCCGTTCTATCTGCATGAGGACTGCTCCCAGTCCCGTGATGGATGCAGCACAGAACACTACAAAATCCTCAACTCCCTCCGGGAGAGTCAAGACTTGATCAGGTCTTGGAGAGTGTACCAAATCTCTTTTTTCTGATTTACACAACTTAATGTGCTCAAAGAGTGAAGGAAGAACACCAAACACCATTTCTGAGAAAGCAACTTGATCAGCATGCAGCTTCTCAATATCATATGCAGTTAGAGGAGTTGGACGAGTCTCATCTTGACCCATAAGCTGAGCAGCAACATCTCTTACAACCGTTCTTACAGGAACATGAGGACCTTCTTTGACGGATCTCCAAATCTCTTCACCTTTCTCTTTAGCTAGTAAAAATCTTTCCATTCTAACTTTCCAGTGGTCATATTCTTCCACAACTAGCAGTGGGGCACGTGTAGGGCCACCCATACGATTTGCGATTTGCATTGAAATCATTTGTTGAGGATTAGAAGTAGCCATTGAAGTTAAGATATCTTCAAGCAAAAGTGGTATATAGGAGAACTTTTATCCTTAACACAGAAATGGTTGAAATACCAAGGTAATTTCAAACCAACTGTAATATGATCTTATGGATTCAAAGGACAACCACTCAAGCTATGATACCAATTGAGAGAACAAAATGAGCTGATGCGCAGGGACAAAGTTTGAAAACTCAAACCTTGAGATACCACTTTAAGATCAATGTCTGCTTACTAATGAATGTTCCAGTCAATTCTGGATAGACTAGTCAAGTCTGAGTTAATGTATTCAACAAATGTTCAAGCCATAAATGAAGAATGAGAATAAAGATCAAAGTAAGGTTAATAAATGAAGAACAAAGGGAATGTTGAAGAGAGAGTGAAGTAAATGAGATATTGCTAAAAAGTTTGAACAAATCCGTCTGTTGATTTAACAATTAATGCTCCTATAAATAGGAGTACATGAAACATGGTACTAACCGATTACAAACATAGGACTGGATAAAAGAGTTACATCTGACACTCTGAATATCCGTGTTGACAAATAAAGCTAAGTCCTATGACTAGTTAAATCAAACAAAAGACAAATACATTTAATGCATAAAGACAAAATACAGATTCCGGAACAACAAACATTCCGGACACAAGGTTCATTCCGGAATGCCTTCACTCATTCTTCACATCTCCATCTTAACATCAGGTCCGGACACTAACAGATTCCGGAGCAGACTTCACTTCGGAACTACAGCTGACTTCGGAATTGACAAAAGAATTTAGGATTGCTAGAGGTTCACTTTCAGGTTCCAACAGTTGCCACTTGTCGTCGGATCATCATCGGACCGTCGTCGGACCACGCTAGATTAATACCAAATTCAGTGACATTTTTATGATCATATTCACAACTTAATTGAACAAACATTGTAGCTCTCATTTCTTTGAGAATACTTTTTAGCACATATCATTTCATTTTTGCAGCAAAATATAAAAACTTTAATAAAAAAAGAAGTGGTTTATGTCTTGAACAATTCAATTTTCTTTTTTTTAATTGTAAATTTCTTTAGAAAAATAATATTGTTTATAAGACATGTTTAGAGTTTAATAGACATATTAATTCACTAATACGCAGTTTAACATTTTCATGCATATATTCGTTCGTATTTTAACACAAAATTTATATAATATATACAACCTAATACAATTTATTTTTAGTTTAATGCATAAAAATCATAATATAATACAACCCATTATATACTAATTCACAAATTCAAAAAGTTATATATTTGATTTTAACCGGTTCATTGGACAAGTGTAAATTGTCCTATGATATAAATTTAATATATTTCAAGAATTATATATATATATATATATATATATATATATATATATATATATATATATATATATATATATATATATATATATAGAGAGAGAGAGAGAGAGAGAGAGAGAGAGAGAGAGAACCAAAAGATTTGTGAGAACTTGCGGACTCGTAATCAACTCATCATTTTTCAACACCAAAAACATCAATCTTCTCCAAATGGTACGTCTAAGCTATATCTAGACTCAAAAAAAAATATTTGCCGTTTTTTTTTAAATTTATTTTGGTTTTTTTGTATGACTGCTGATGAGCACAATCAACAGTTCTACGGACTACTGATGAGCACAATCAGCAGTCATATATATTGTTGATGATTGCTCATCAGCAGTCCATATGGATGCCGATTGTGCACATCCGCAGTCCATATGACTATTGATTATGCTCATTAGCAGTCCGTACAACTGCTAATTGTGCATACATGAAAATTTCAAAAATAAATTAAAAAAATTGTCAGATTTTTTTTAGCGTTGATATGCCTTAAACACACCATTTTGAGAAGATTGGTGTTTTTTATATTGAAAAATGATGAGTTAATTATGAGTTCGCAAGTTCACACTTTTTTCTTAGTTTTCACGATAACTATATATATATATATATATATATATATATATATATATATATATATATATATATATATATATATATATAATTGTTACAACAGTTGTAACACTAGAAAAAGAAAGGTCAATCCAACCTTGCACTTTTTGAAAGGAAAAGACCCATGTGCTGTTTTGTTCAAACGGACAAAAGTTTCTAAACTCAAAAGTCAAAAGTCAAAACAGAAACAATGATGGATTAGTGAGTGAACAATTAGCATTGGTAGGAGTGGGGGTAGTAGGGTGCATCACAAACTATTCTAGGTGGTTGATGTTTAATGAACTGTACGAATCATTGATATATGTACATTTAAAGAATTAATGTCTACCACTGTATCCATATACCCAAATACGATATAATGCACATATAACTATTAATATATTTATGTACAAATGATAAGTAACCACATACCCAAATACAATATAATGCACATATAGATATAACTATTAACATATTTTTGTACATATGATATGTAAATATATTTATACATCATGTGTTACACTGAAAATATAAATATCGTAATTAAGTATTAGAAGGGAAAATCTTTTCGAGAAAATTGATGAATCGTTTGGAGTAAAATTTAGGATCCGCAACGGATATTGAGATGGGATCATGGCGGGTGGATTTATAAGCATATTCTATTTTTTTCCTTGTGTTGTATTCTTGCAGTATATCGATTATACCGAGATAGAGAACAACATCATATACTTCATAAAGTTCGATTTCTGTGGAACCGGAAATGTCGTGGGAGACCTTATGGTTTGCATGAGCTGGCATGTTCACACCTAATTGCACCCGTAACCTGAAAGTGTTTTTCTAAAGATTAGTTAAAAGAATGGAACATATGTGAACAAATTATAATTCTTTTCATGTACACCGAAATGACATTGTAGTATATCTTAATTTAAAGAAAATTATTTACAGCATAACATTCTTATCTCTATTTACCAATTAAATTTCATTTAGATGGCAAATTATGGATAACATGCACCATGTTTGAATGATTCATCACATTCCTTCGAGACAACAAAATATTATAGTGAAATGCAATGGTCCATTTCATTAAGTAGTTCATGCATGTGATTCTATTCCATCGTAATATTAAATGTTAAAAAAATGCCTCACCATTGGACTTATCATTTGACAAAAATCTGAACAAAGAGCATATGGAATACCTCGCAGTACCAGGAAGAAGGAGATCAACTTCTTTGTCACCTACCGAAAATGCCCTTAAAGTACTTCCTCTACTGTGTGGACCCGGTTCGGTGTTCACAGAACTCGGTTCATGTGTCACTAGGAGAAGTCCCTTTGGAGGAATCGAATGATCCACAAGACTTAGTGGACCTAAAAAAGAACAATAGTTCTCTAAATTATTAAATAATTCTAAAATATGAATAAGAACATTTACTTTCACCTGGAGTTTTCTGCGGCTTGTGAAATGCATCTGGTGGTTCCAATAGACTCTTCAGATGTTCAGGAGCTCTAAAGTGCAATCCCAAAAGAAGGCTATAATCTATAATCCGTTGAGATTCTAGAAAAATACAGTCAAGCTTGATTTGTCTGCAAAAAATTAGGAGGGAAGTTCAATGAAATAGTAAAGTTATGGGTCATTTGGTTAATAAAATATTCATATTTTTGGAAGAAATGATACCTATCAAAAGAATTGAAATATCATGAATTTGGAATACAGAGGAATTAGTCTGTATTTGTATGGTTGGAAAGAAATGGAATGAATTAACAAATAAAAAGTTATTTTATTATATATTCACCCTAACTAATTTTTATATTTTTATTGAATATATATATATATATATATATATATATATATATATATATATATATATATATATATATATATATATATATATATGAAAAAATAATATACATTACAGTCGCAACTAACCTTAGGTACTAAACCTCATTAAACTGCGTCGTTTTATTAGCTAAATATTTTCCCGAAGCATATGATTTCATAAAATAATCATATCCTTCCTAAAACACTATGTGATTTCCAAAAACAAGTTTTTTTCCATAAGATTTTTTTCCCCATTACTCGTTGTTGTGTAAAAAAAACTTATGAAAATTTGACAAAACAATTAATTTTTTTTAACAAAAAACCGGTGAAAAAAATTCTCAAAAAATCATAAAAATTTTAGGGATACTTCTACTCAATATACTAGCGACTTTTAAAAAAGAAATTTTCAAAACTAAGTTTTGAAGTATTTATTTTTAATTTTAAGAAATATTATTTTTTTTTAAAAATTGTTCACCATAATATGATAAAAAATGTGATGATTCAAAATATTTATGATTAAAAAAAAGTAAGTATTGATTCAACTTGTTTATGATCATTAATTTGTTATGATCAAAAATATTTTGACTCAAATATTTTATAATCCTTAATTATATCTTCTATGATTAAAAATATATACTGATCCGTAACCTTTTTTGAACAAAAACTATATTTATTTGAATATATTACTGATCCAAAATCATATGATGAAAAAATGATTTGATTTAAAATATTACAATTCAAAATAATTTGATTCAAAATTTTATGATCCAAAATAATATGGTTAAAAAATATATGAACGAAAAATGTTATGATCTTTAATATTCTTCTTATTTAAAATTTTATAATTGTTAGACATAAAAAACTCAAACCGTTATTTAGTTTAAAAACTAAAAAAAATAAAAACAAAAACAAAAAAATCAAAAAGAATAAAAAAAAAAAACAAAGAAAAACTCTACTACCTTTAAGTATGTAGTAATGATATTTAAAAAAAAAAGAAAAAAAACGAAAGAAAACGAAAAAAAGTAAAAATAATAAATTAAAAAAAAACGAAATAAAAAAAACAATATAAATTAAAAACGTTAAAACCGAGAATATATCTATTTAATTTTTTATTGAATTTTGTTTTTAACGAAAAATAAATAAAAACTAAATAAAAAAACGAAAATAAATAATAAAACCCACTTAAATGACGTTCCATGGACGTTCGTCGCACATGATTAAATCCTCGGGTCCGTATTAGTTACTACGGACGTAGTCGAATGCGAACACACCACGACCAAGTATTTGAGTTTGACGTTTGTGCCCTTAACGAAATGGGTGATGGAGAATTGCCCTCACCATTTTTTGAGTCCTCACACGAACGAGACTATATATATATATATATATATCAAGGCTGTCAAGATCGGGATCGAGATCGAGATCCTAAGATCCCACAAAAAAAAAAACAGAATTTTAATTTATAATTTTAAAACATGAAAAATATTTCAAACATTCGATTTTTTGTTCAAACGATATAAAAATTTCAAGATATTAGTTATAAATCACAACACAAAATGATAAACGGTAAATTGAAAAAAGGGTAAAGACATAAAGTGGTATAAAAGGTTTCATTTGCAAAAAAAAAAAAAAAAAAAAAAAAAATTCAATGGAAGGTTGGATTAGAGCGGATATCGATCATATGATCCTACCTACGATCTTACGATCCTGACTACGATCCTACCCCAAATACAATCCGTTTACGATCCGGCTCGTTTTTCATACCTCAGATCGTAGGATCGTAAGATCTTACGATTAGGATCGCGATTTTGACAACCATGATATATATATATATATATATATATATATATATATATATATATATATATATATATATATATATATATGGTTAGATCGATTTGGATTTTAAACACAAACTATAACCAGACGAGCGTTTTGAGAAATATAAAGCATGCATAGTAGGGGATGCTTATTGTCAGTTGGTCGGTATTTATTTAAATAAGAATTTAACCGACCGGTTGTTAAACCAGCTACCATTAGAACTGTACTAAACCTTGAGGTGTCTAAATCACATCCTATACATCAACTAGATGTCAAAAATGAAATTTTTCATGGCCAACTATAAGAAACGATATATATGCACTAACCAATAGGGTTTGTGATGATTCACATCTGCATAGCGTTTGTCTTGTTAAAATGTCCTTGGACGGTCTAAAATAAGCAGCACGTGCTTCATACGAATGTTGTATAGATTTCATTGACACAATCAGTTTCACACATAATATATGTGACCTAGCTATTTATCTTATCAACATATTAATGATGTGGCGTATCTTCTACTTTATATCACATCATAATTCTAACCACTTCCTCTCATCAACTACGACACTCCCTTATGGATCTCTTTACATGAGAATTTTTTATGAAGGATCCTACACTACTTAGTTACTTTCTTGGCATTTCAGTTAGACGTCACGAAATCGGTCTTGTGGTAAGTGAAGAATGCTCCTCAAAGGATCATGTGAACGCACTTCAATAGATTATTGCTACATCTATGATATGATCACCCACGATTTACACCTCACAAAATCTCACTCCGTGTATCTTCTTTTCTACATCGATGAAGATTGGGGGAAGGGGGTGTCCGAATTCCCGATGACCAACGTGTGGTTACTGCGTTTTCCTCATTGACAAATTGATTCTGTGGTCCTCCAAACATAGTCTTTATCTCAGTCTAGTGCTAAAGTCGAATACCATGGAGCTGCAAATCCGATCCCCATAGAATGTTGGTAATGAAACCTACTCTTCAGAATCTCTGGCCACAATTGTGTATTGTGATAATGTAAGTGCAATTTACTTAGTGGGGAACTCCAACACTGATGCACAAAGCACAATGAAATGAACATCCACTTTGTTATGGAAAAAGTTGCAAAATGAGAAGTATGAGTTTTATATGTTTCATCTTGGTACTCACCATTGTCATAAAACTCGGCCTACTCGGTTGAGTACTTGAAATCGGGTATATACCAAGACGATTTCTAGAAATCGGTAAAATAATCGGAATTGGTCAAGCTCGATCAAAGTAGGGTCAAACTAGGAAAAAATCGGCCAAATCAGTCAAGCTCATGAATTTTGACATTTTCTTTTAAAAAAATGAGCAACTATAATTGTTAAGTAATTAATATATTCAATTATTCATGAAACCCTTTATTGTTTGATTTTAACTTTATCTATTTTAATGCAAATTTGATGGAACCAGAAAAAAAGGCCGGAGATTAAATGATTACTCTAATATTAAAGAATACTACTCCGGCCTAGGCTGAGTACTCGCTAGTCCCCAGTCGATCAACCTAATATTGCCTACGAATTTTTACAACATTGGTACCTACTAGCTGATGTTTTCACATAAGGTCTATCACCGTTTCTATTTGATGAGTTTTGGAATAGAGCGCATCCGTCAAACTCCCACTATGACAATATGAGACTATTAGACTAGATATGTATTACTTTCACATGTATTTATATTAGATATAAACTAGACATAGATCCTAGGTTAGCCATACTTTCCTTACATAGATAACTTCTTGTCTAATTTGTACGTGATTTCTTGATGAGAAGAGGTTTCAAGATTCTCACACTTACACATTTTTTTCCAACCAAACATGTAGCATATTGCAATTCCTCAATATTCCAATTCACTCATATTTCACTTCCTTTCGATTCCTTTTAAAAACATCATACAAATCAAATGCCCCCTTATAGTATAACATAGAAACTAGTGATATAGTTGATGATAAGTCAAACTTACTTGAAAAGTGCATCACGCAACGACTTGTCCATATGGAAATCATAAGCAAGATCAAGGTCTTTAAATGTGGTACCCACTTCTATATCATCTTTATTTGTATTTCTTCCGTGATAAGAACCCTTTAAATCACAACGTTGGTGAATTTGAAGTTCAGTGTAGAACATATTTCCCATGACTACAAATTGTACCTAAAAATTGAGATTAAAACAAAAAATATTTCTATTGATTACGATAATCTATGAAACCAAAATAAGAGGTTATTTATTTTTATTTTTTTTACCGAATCATCTTAATGAGCTAACCACTTGATCCAGACAACTATATACATGACTCTTTCTTTTTTGACTAAATTTCGAATGAATGACTTATAGGGTTAAGCCAAAAAAAATATGGCTTAATGTGTTAAGACACTAATCCTTTCCCTACTTGTCCTTCTTTGTTTTTCCTCCCAACTCCTTTCACATTAAAATTGATGATGTTTATTAAATAAATGAATATAGTGGAATTTGTTTTTGGGAATGTAATGGTAAAATGATAATTGTTTATTCTGTGTAGAGAACAAGCAATTGTTATGTATACAACATTTTATCCGAGCATACATCATTCACTCACTTTACATACAAGACTTAATGGGGGAAAAAGAAAACGAAACCACCCCACTGTAGATAAATATGACATACCTTCTTGCCAACTCTTAGTGTTATCTGATGGAGGCCATAGAATTTGGTGATCAAGGTGTTATCGTGAGCATGTACATGTTTGTAATAGCTTGGAAGCATCTTGAGTAAAACCTGGAGAAAATCACATTATCATATAAACAATATTTACTTTTTGTTCAGAAATAAAATTGCAGAATTCTTAAGCCATGTGGATAGAGTGAAAGAGACATAACAAGTTGTGGATGTACTAAAATCACAAAAGCAGCAAATTCAGTTGGATTTAACTATCGAGCTAGAAAAAAATTGCACAATTCTTAAGCCATGCAAAATGCAAATAGAGCTAGTAGTATATATTAGCGGACTCTTTTGTATTTTAGGAAGTGTATTTTAGTTATGATTTATATGTATCCTTCCCTATTTTATCTCCTCATTTGAAGGATGTATCGATTGTATCTCTCCCTATATAGAGGGTATTTTATTCAATGCAACATACAGAAAAATCAATTACGCCATAATCTTTGTTATGGTATCAGAGCCCGCCTAAACACTAACAACTGACATATCTATCTCTGTGATCAAAGCTACGGTTTTGCTTCAGCCTTCCTTCCATGATGAAAGACAATTCGGGTTCAGGTGAGGTGAAGGCCATGACCTTACACCCTGCCTACACTGTCACAAACATCCAAACAAAGATCCAAACTCTAGATGGCTCAAAAGTTACCTACTCGTCTTGGATAAAGTTGTTTCGTCTTCATGCCAAGGCTTACAAGGTTCTCGCTCACATTGAAGAGACCCCTGCACCAGTTGAAACTGATCCCGGTTATCTCCAATGGATGTAAATCGATGCTCTGGTTCTTCAGTGGATCTACAACACGTTATCTGATGAATTAATGGTTCGCATATTGGAGAATGATACCACTGCCCAGGCCGCATGGAATAAACTCAAAACAAATTTTCTCAACAACAAAGGACCACGTGCAGCAGCCCTTGAACAGGAATTCTCCAATCTTACCTTGGGAGCATGTTTATAAATGGAATCTTACTGTCAAAAACTTTAAGACCTTGTTGATCAGCCTGGAGATGTCGAGAACCCAGTAACTGAATCTAGACTGGTCTTGCAAATGGTTCATGGATTGCCCCTGAATTTGATGTCGTTGGTGCGTACATCAATAAAAGCTCTCCATCATGGGAACAGCCGATAGTATGCTATAGTTGGAGCAACATCGACAAACCGCTTGAAAAAGCCAAGCCCAAACAGTCATCGCTGCACCTGCGTCGGTGGATCGATCTTCCCAAAACCCTGCTAGAACCGCTCAAGGAAATCGAAATCAACCCTCTTATCACTATTCGAGCAATCGAAAACAGTGGAATTCTGGTCGCGGTCGTGGTGCCAATGGTCGTGGTCGTGGCAGAAACTCTTGAGGAAGAGGAGGTCGTGGACAACCACAGTTTTGGAACCACGAAAATTATCACAACCAAGCAAATTACCAGAACTGGAATTCTTCATGGAACCCACCTCCATCCCCATATCCGTCACATGGATCGACTCAGGGACCTCATTGGGCCAATCACACTGCTCCCAACATTGGTTATAACTCAGGAACCGGCCACCCATCAGCACCACACCCGACCGGCCCTGCCCCACCTATGACTTCTATCTTTGTCGGAAATGGGTCTAGTATTCCTATTCACCGGTCGGGCCATGCCACACACAACACCACCACACATTCTTACGCATTAAAAAACATCCTTTTCACCCCATCCATTATTAAAAACTTACTTTTTGTTCGAAAATTCACCACGGATAATCAAACTTCTGTTGAATTTGACCCATATGGTTTTTCTGTTAAGGACCTCAAGACTGGACCTCTTTTTTCTCGTCATGATAGAACATGTGATCTCTACCCCTTCACAACACCAACTAGTTCGTCCGCTTTCCTTACCACAACGCATGATTGATGACATGCTCGCTTAGGTCATCTGGGGGCTCATATCTTAGATTTACTCCGTTCTAAATTTTCAGTTATTTGTTATAAAGCTATGGATTCTTCTTTATGAAATGATAGTCAATTGTCTAAACATACTCATTTACCGTTTTATGATTCACATTCCTTATATGTTGCACCATTCGATATTATCCATTGTGATCTTTGGACTTCTCCGGTTTTGAGCAAAACATGTTACAAATATTATATGGTTCTTATTATCAACTACACACATTACATATGGGTCTACCCTCTCAAATTCAAATCTGAAACCTTTCTCAATTTTAAGAAGTTTCACAAACTAATTCAAACTCAATTTAATCGCACCATTAAAACTTTCCAGTGTGATCTTGGTGGCGAGTTTCATAATAATGAGTTTAAATCTTTTGCTAATACTCATGGTCTTACTTTTCGCTTTTCTTTCCCACAAACATCTCAACAAAATGGACGTGCCGAACGTATGATTCATCATCTCAACGACATCATCCGCATCCTTCTTACCCATGCCTCGCTACCCCACTCATTTTTGGTAGAAGCCCTTCACACGGTTGTGTATCTTCATAACATCCTTCCTACAAAGCGAATCAACTTCACCACACCAACATTTTCTCTTTATGGCCACCATCCTACCTATGATCACCTTCGCATCTTCGGTTGTACGTGCTATCCCAACACTTCCGCTACTCAATCTCACAAGCTTCAACCTCGCTCCATCAAATGTGTTTTCCTTTGTTACCTTGAAAACTTTCGGGGCTACCGTTTCTTTGATCCTGCAATGGGAAAAGTTCATCTCTCTCGCCATGTCATGTTTGACGAGACATCCTTTCCATTTGCCCAGAGTCCTTCTCGTCCTCATATGACTTTTTAGATGATCTTCCTATTCCCTCATTCTCCTACTTGCCATCAAAAACTCAACCAACTCCACCACAAACTCCCAAACAACACTCATCTCCTACTGTACCACTCTCCCCCCTCCCATCTTAACACATACTTGTCGCCAAAAGGCCCCCATACCACTACCTCCCTTCCCATTAATGATAACATACCATCTACAACTCCCTCCACATCCAACCCGTCACCTACCACCGAGATAACTACATCGCTTACCCCACCTAACCCACCTACTTCTACTCATTCGATGAACACCCATTCCTGGACAAGTGTTACTAAACCTCTCACCCTCCTCAACCTTCATACCACTACCACCTCTCCCATCTCTCATATCCCTACCTCTATCTCTATGGCCCGATCCGACCCAAATTGGTTACTAGCAATGGAAGATGAATTTAGAGTGTTATAGGTGAATAACACATGGGAACTTGTTCCTCGACCGATGGATAGCCCAATTATTAGATTTATGTGGCTTTTTCGCCACAAGTTTAAAGTAGCTGGTTCACTAGAAAGGTATAAAGCTCGACTTGTTGTGAATGGGAAATCTCAAACTGTGGGTGTTGATTGCCACGAAATATTCAGTCCGGTTGTCAAACTGGCTACCATCCGGACCGTATTTAGCCTTGCCGTGTCCCAGGCATGGCCAATCCATCAATTGGATGTCAAGAACGCCTTTCTCTACGGAGATCTACATGAGACATTTTTTATGCACCAACCTCCGGGTTTTGTGGACGCTCGTTTTCCATCTCATGTTTGTCGCCTCCGAAAATATACCAGCATGGCCGACATCGTGCATATTTGTTATTATATGTTGATGATATTATCTTAACTGCTTCTGACCCTATGTGTCTACACAACATTATTACTTCATTTTCTCAGGCATTTGCCATGATAGACTTGGGTGCACATCATCACTTTCTAGGTATCACGGCCACAGGAGATAAGCAGGGCTTATTTTTATCACATGCTTCCTATACTCGTGACATCCTTTAGAGGGCTTCTATGTCCTCATGCAAACCTTGTTCTATGCCTGTGGATACGTCCACAAAACTTAGTGCCACCGATGGCGAACTACTTCAGGATGGGACTGTCTCAGAGACCACTTGGCTTCGGAACCTCTTACTTGAGCTCCATGTTCCGCTTCAAAAGGCAACGGTGGTATATTGTGATAACGTGTCTGCTGTTTATCTGTCACAAAATCCGGTTCAACACCAGTGCACTAAACATGTAGAAATTGACATCCACTTCGTTCGCGAAAAGGTTCGACTTGGCTAGGTTCGAGTTTTACACATTCCCTCTATGCAATATGCAGACATCTTTACCAAAGGCTTACCTCGTTACTTATATCAACAGTTCCGATCTGGTTTGAGCGTTTGTCCTTTCCCCGCTCAAACTGTGGGGGAGTATTAGCCGACTCTTCTGTATTTTAGGAAGTGTATTTTAGCTATAATTTATATGTATCCTTCCCTATTTTATCTCCTCATTTGAAGGATGTATCGATTGTATCTCTCCCTATATATAGAGGGTATTTTATTCAATGCAATATACAGAAAAATCAATTACGCCATAATCTCTGTTAGTATATCCATGTAGAAAACAGTAAGATGCTAAATAGCATTCATAAAGCAAAATATTCATGTATTGGTAGAATCAAACCTTGAGCTCGGATTTTTTTAAGGTTTTAATCACGAATCTATCATCATGAGAGAGATAGAATAGGCTGCCACTTTTCCCTTGAGAAGAAAGCTCTCTTAAACCATCATCCCCACATATGGACATCATATAATCTGCAACATCTAACTTGAACATCTCCCTCAAATTCCTGAGAAACAAACTCCATCAACATGTTTTAAGACTAAAAAAACATCAACACTAGTATACAGATACCTGAAGACCATAGAACAATAGTCTTTCCAATAGAAATCTATTGAAGAATGTGGAGGTGTTAATTGTGAGCCTTTCCTGGGGAAATACATCCTTATTCTTGATTGTTCTCCAAAATCTGAATATCTAACTTCACGCATAGGAACTGGTGTAATTTTGCCTACAGTGTACCTGTAATCAAGTCCCATAAGACATTCTAGAATAAAATTGGACTGAAATCGGGCAGAAATCAAGAAAAGAACTGGAACTCAAAGTTGGGTGAATGGAACAATCAAGAATACATGTGCTGATGTGCGTACAAATTTTCAGATGGTAATGGCGTCTGTGTGGATGAAGGTTATGGCTTTGAGGTTTGTTTCTTTTTTAAACTTAATAAACCGCCTAAATGAGACTAAATGACCATTTTACCCTCACATTCCGAAAATCAAAATTCTCAATATTAATCAATTACAACAATATTCCTCAATTCGAATGTGCAATGTATCCAGAGAAAAAGAAAAGAGCAAATAGGTAAAAGGTTAGTGTCTTAGGACATTAATCTATGTTTTTGGCTTAACCCGTTTAGTCATTCTGTCAAGATTAAGTAAAAAGGAAACAGCCATGTATAGCTGTTCAGATTGCTTAACCCATTAAGCCCATAAATCAAAAATAAAAAGCCCCTTAGTTAGAAGGATACCTGATACCTAGCTGCAGATTAAGCATCAGATAGCTGCTTTTACGGCCTTCAAAAATGTCCAAAGACGACTTCCTTTCCACTTCTTTCATATGAAATTTTCGCTGCTGTTCCTTTTTGTATAATACCCCTGCATTATTCTTAATCCTTTCGTTAATCAAAACTCCTTGTATGTATTCCCTTTCACAAACTACAGTACTATTGTCATCTAGACTTTCACCTACATCATCATCTACACTTTCACCTTCATCAGATGTATAAGATAATATATCAGTATTGAACTCCCTAACAGAACCCCCAATGGAAATCCTCGTACTTGATATTCGACCCAAGTCTTTAAAAAATCCATTAATGGAAATTTTGTCAGATAAACTGCGGTTTATACTTCGTTTCTTTTTGCCTAATCTTTTAGATGATGGACACCTAATACTTCCTCCAGGATAGAACATGCCACGTCCATCTTTGAGTCCTTTTGTCCATGTCCCAAAATAATAACTCCCATCAGCAAACCTATAAACACCTGACCCATGTCTATACCCATTTAGCCAATAACCATCAAACAGATCACCATTCAGCCATTTCATCACCCCTCTACCACACATCAATCCACCTTTCCAGTTTCCAATATACATATCACCATTACACCAACCATATTTACCACTTCCTTCACGCACTCCTTCTTTCCAAGAACCATCATAAACATCAGAATTACTATACTGCTTTCTCCCAAGCCCATGCTGAATGTTCATCCTCCATGAGCCTATGTATGTTGACCCATCTGGATTGGTCAACGTGCCAAAACCATCAAGGTAGCCACCACAAAATTCACCCTCATATGTTGTTCCAGATGTCCAAGTGATCCTTCCGCCACCTGTCATTTTCCCTTTTTTCCAACTACCCTCATAAACTGTACCATCGGACCATGTGTATTTACCTCTACCATGAGGAATCATTCCCTTGACATTACCATAGTACACATCTCCTTTTAGAAAGATCTCCATACTCATGCTGATCTTTTATCAGTTTCTTATGAGCTCCTGGTATTGATATCACCTGTTACAATGAATATTGGAAACTAGCAACGAGACCCCTGAATTGTAAAACCATCCTTGTTTTTTATTCATGTACTTCCATCTTATACCATCTATTAATATTTGACTGTTCCTGTTTTGCACATACGATGAAGACAGCAGCGGAATACTAATACTTTATTTGAATTGTTTCTTTGGCCTAAAGCAAGATTTGAAAGACTATTTATTAGTTTTTTTGTGAGAATAAGTAACATGTGTCGCCTTAAACAATACCAGCAAATTAAAGATATATGTCATGTCTTATCTCAGAGAATTTAAATACCTTAAACAAATACTATATTCTTCAATCAAGATAGGAACATAGCAAGTGCAATAAAAATTAACTTTGACTTCTCAAAGAACATACAAACAAAAACTAATTACGCCAAGCTAGCCGTTTTAATAGATATTGTATTATATTCTATCCAGATATTAAGCAGTACATATTTGAAGACTATAATTTGAGAACAAGATAGCCTAATACTTTTTTGACTCATTTTAAAATGATCTTCGATTCTAAATAGTGATATATATATATATATATATATATATATATATATATATATATATATATATATATATATATATATATATATATATATATATATATATATTGTTGCATAACTGGGCATAATTTTTTCTGAAACTTATGTCAGAGTCAATACTTGACAAATTTTAACACGTACAAAAAGTAACAAAAACTTCTCGTGAACTCGATTAAAGTTCAATCTTAACAAAAAAACAAACATATACACACCAGGAAGTGAAGCACTCGCCTGTTAAATCAATCCAAATCCTAAAAATAAGCGATATTTTATTATTGATTTATTGGAACTTGGAACTTGGAAATCCACTAACGGATTCACACTCCAGAAATTCTGCCGTTGGAGGTACAATGCAATGGAGGTTTTAGAAATTTTTTAGGGGGAGAGAGCAAATATCATTTTGAGGGGAATAATAGAGTAGAGTGCGTCGCAAGCATGCAAACTAGTGTCCTAAGAAGGATGACAATTGGATGCTAGATGAACGGTTTGAGGTCTTTTGTAGGTCCTTTTCGCCGACGCAAGGCATATGGCGAGGTGTTGTAATTTAAGTTGTGATGATTCTCCATCTTTTTCCAAATAAATTTAAAAGTAAGTTACAGATTTGGTATATATAGTTGCCATTTTCTTGAAGTTTTAGTCCAAATTCTAAAATTTTAACGCTGGTAATTCTCATGGCTAAAAATACATTTGGTTGTTATGGTCTTCGTCTCGGTTAACCACACATAAAATGATTTTACCTATGAACGAAGTTCATAAAAGATATAAACTAGAAGGATCATATCTATAAATTACTCCAAAAATAAAATAAGATATCTCTCTTTTATGATCATCATGTTAGTCCTACCCAAACTTCACTTCTGGCCACCGATCATATCTCTCATTTCTCTGGTGGCGCCGTCATCTCCCACACATCTACATTCGCCTATTAACTTAACACCATCGCCAATCCTCACCAGATTTGTTTTGCCGCTCACCCGGTCTTGTGGTTTGGACAAATGCTACACATTACACAATGAGGACAATCCCTAATAGCGACTGAAAACCATATGGTTTCCATTTAATTAAAACCGATAAAAATGAAATAGTCCAACACTATAAGAACACTATAAGGTAGACCTTAAATTTATTTCAAGATAGGTACTATTTTTTTTCTTATATTAGTTCTAATTAGAATAAAATTTTAGGTAGACCTTGGACCCACCTTCCTCACATATAAAATGGTATTTGTTCACCTCATCCCTTGTATAATGAAATCACCACCATTCATCATACGTTTCCTTTATCCCACAAGACCCCCTTTGATTCCTTACAACACTATCGGTGACCGCATTCCATTTCTAATACAAAATCCTAAATCTTACAACATGAAGGATTGAAGATAAATATGTTTGTTTTAACGATTGAAAACGTTCTTTATATTGATAATCATATTATCTTTGATTTACAAGGTATAGTGAACTCATCATTAGAAAAATGAGTACTCATATTATAGGATTTCTATAATGAAAATCCTAACTAATGATTTTATAGTGATGACCTTTACATTCTCATATTAGCTTCAAAATATTTCAGGAAGAATCTCTTGAAGCTCCTGTCACCATTCAAGCAATTGAAAAGTATGTTTTGTTTTAATGATTTTAAGTTTCTATTATTTTTAATCTGATTTAGGTCATTTATTTTGAATGTATGTTTTGTTTTGTTTTACATTTGCTTATTACTATTTTTTTTAACTCTGTTTTAGTGGACGATTGAGAAAGTGGTTGTTTTGAACCTTGAATAATGAAACCATAATACTCAAAGTTGTAATATAAAAGTAATAAGTACAAAACATGGTGAAAATCGCCATTTTACATATTGTTAACAAAGGGAGACAAAATGACCAAAATATCTGATACATTTTGAAACCATAGGATACACTGTATCAAATTTTCACACATTGGACTAAAACTACAAAAGAATGCTAACACAAGGACCAAATATGTAATGTACTCCAAATTTAATAATTACAAAATAGGTAAATTATATAAAATCTATTGTATTTTTCACTTTTTCACTTTTTCACTTTATCCATTCATTAATTTTTGTATGATATCAAAACAAGAAATAAGCCCATTAGCGACGACGCATATAGCGACGACGGTAACCTTTAGCGACAACATTAAAAATGCCGTCGCTAAAGGCTACCGTCGTCACTAATGACCTTCCACCGGCGATCCTCTCGTGCCACACGTAAGTTGATCCTGACCGTACGCCATTATACCGATCCATCGGTTAGGGTTTAATCTTATGGGAGGTAAAGAGGCGACACCAATTGTGACGACATGTCGCCGCTATTGATGGTGATCCGCGTGAATGTAATCTTGTCCGTTTGATTATTTTTGGATCGGATGGTTACTAATCACGGCAGAAAGGCGCGTGTTTTTCCCTCCAAGATGTTGTCGCTAAAGGTAACGCCCCTTTTGATCCATCTTCGTCCCAGACGACCCATTTCATGTGTCTTTTCCTCCCTCTCGCAAAACTCCGACGACGACGATCATCACCGTCCTGTGGTTCGATTTTCCAGCGTAGTACACCAACACAAACCACCACTAACCATAGATTGCTTCTAGGCCTTCGTTTTCTGGTGATTTCCGGCAATTTTTGACTTTTTCCGGCGACAACAATCCTCTGGTAACGTGTGTTTTCTTTTCCCTCTTCTCTTTCTCTTGTTTTCTTACCAATATTTCACCCTAGTTACATTATTTTGGTGCTTTTAAGGGAACCTCCGGTGAATACCACCACCACAGCACCATCGTTGTCACCACCAGTTTCAATTTCCGGCGACAACTTCTATTTTCCGGCGACATCTTCTATTTTCCGGCGACAACCTCAATTTTCCAGGTTTTTCTTCTTTCTTTTTTCTGTTTTTAATGTATGTATGTGAATTATATATGTAATATATGAATATGTTTGTAAAAATGTATATGCAAATGTGTATGTTTGAATATGTATGAAAAAATGTATATGTACGAAAAATTGTAACACCCCGACTCCCAGGTACAAATTTTAAGCATTATATGACATATTTATGGACTTACTCGACGAGTTGGTTGCCCCCAACTTGTCGTGTAGAGGCGGGTTAGCCCACATGGATTATTGGATCTACTCGAGGAGTCGGAGGACACGGACTCGGCGAGTAGGAGCTGGGAGATGAAACCCTAATTTTTAGGGTTTGTACCCTATTTAAAGGACCTTAAGTCCCTTCCTCCAGTCCTTTACCACCCCCTTGACGGCTGAGAGAAACCCTAATTGATATTACCTTGTTCTTGAGTGTTTATGAGGGTTAAAGACTGATTTTGGTGCATTTGGTGAAGGAGGTGTGAAGTATAAGAAGCTTGGGGAAGAGAGGAGCTTGTGGATCTGACTCTACTTCAGCTTGGCATCATTTTGAAGGTATCAAGTTGATACTTTGGCTTATCCTTAGCTAAATCTCTTCATGTTTGGGTTTAGGGCTATCTTTAACACATTTGGGAGTCATTTCGAGTATTGGGGCAAGATTTGAAGTTGTAACTTCATATCTGGACTCCCCTTGGTCCCTATAGCTATAAAGTTGTGGGATTTGGCAAGCTTGGGCCTTTCCCTTTGATTTAACCTTTCCCTTAGTCTAGTTTTGGCATTTAGGACCATGCATGTATGTAAAGTTTGCAACTTTATGTGGAAACCATGCCCTAGGAGGTTGGATCTAAAATATGGAGCTTTGGGGTGGCTTAAAAACATCTGTATAAGTAATGGACTGCATGAAATCAACGAGTCGCTTGGTTGACTCGGCGAGTCGGATGAAGGTTGCCCGTATTTGATTCTGCATGAACTCGGAGAGTCAGTAAGAGGACTCGACAAGTCAGTTAGGGTTTTCCCCGACTTCTGGACATGCATGGACTCGACGAGTTGGTTGGAAACTCGACGAGTCGGTTAGGGTTTTATGACTTTCTGAGTTCTCAAGGAACTTGACGAGTTGCTAGCTGCACTCGACGAGTTGGGTCAACCTGGACTGTTGACTTTGACTATAACCAAGGCTTGACCAGTTTAACTTCTAGGGGTATTCTGGTAATTTGAGAATTTATGGAAATGGATCATCGGTGGATGTAGGTGTTGGACTTGGGGCTGCATTTGGTGGAGTTTGACTTTATCACTTCGAGCTACTAGTGAGGTGATTTCTCCTCACTATATCAACAGGGTCTAAGGCACCAATGCCGAACCTTATCAGATTTGTATCCGGGTTTATTGCATGATATGCTTATTGATTTACATCCTGGTAGTTAGGATGGTGATATGCTTAGTGACCTGGTAGGTCGGTATCCTGATTTACAGGATTATGCTATGTTAGTAATCTGTTAGATCGGTATCTTGGTTATA